ATTCTGAATTACAACCTCTCATATTCTACAACCACATCCTGCCTATAGATTTGGTATCAAGCCACAATCAGGATTTCTCTCTCCTGTAAAGAATTTTGAGTTAGGCTGATCAATCATTCTCCCTTTTAAACGTTATTGATGATTTGGACAGTTGGGTCTTAGGGAACTTAGATAGGAATTTGTATGGACAGTTGGGAACCACATAGAGCGTGCCTACAAATGCCCTCACAGCACATCTCAACTGTGCATTGAGAATATCTCCCCATGACAATTACGGGGAGATGTTGAGATGTGCATGTGGGGGTATGTACTATGTAGGGTGCCAATTTGAAGATTCTGAACAACCCAGACAGGTCCTGTGTGTACTTGCTCCTGATTAGTCTTGTAATCTGCAATACACAGCGGTGCAAACAACAAATCCCAAGTGGGTCTTACGTCTTTGATGGATTGGGTCTTCACAATAAGTGAACAACCCGGCCGAACCATTGAACCGGTCATTTTGACAGCTATTGACGTCAGGTTGGTTCTAAAATACTGCTTCTAAGGCAAAGGCAGGATCGATTAAAAAACTATAGAACGCATGATTGCTTAGGTTATCAACTAAATGATTCCCATTTGATGATAAATCAAAATTAGGGTAGGTCAGATTAGAACAGTAAGGTAGAAAGTCGGGATCATTGATATAAAGCTTTGTAAAGTATTTTTCTAATCTGATTAGAGCATTATTTATCTCGATCTGTCTCAAATCCTTGTCCATTTATGTGGTGTTTGAAAACATCATTTAGATGATAACGGTGTCTTCAAATGTTAAGCCAAAGAAAATAATATTTAAAGAAAAACTCAAAGTGTTGTAACTTGTAAGAGTTTTTTTTTTGAAGCCCGTAGGCAAAAGTGTTGTAAGCGTTTGGTGAGTTTTAAAAATATAGGTAACCTGAAGTCAAAACACTTTTAAGCCCCAAAACACAAACATTAAAATATAATTGGAGTTTTAAAAGCATAAATCCTCAAATTTATCCAAACCCAAGCCGAAATAGTGATGTCATCGAAGCCAGCTTTCAAACATTAGAATTACTTCATTTGTACCGTAGGGTTTCTCTTCTTTGGGTTCCATTTGTTTTAATGATTGAGCAATGTTTTAAAAACTGACCTGAAACCAGAACCACTCTAGCCAATAGTCTTTGGGTCGATGATTCGACCACTTAGATCAATGGATTGTTGATCAATTCAACGGTTTTTTTAGAACAAATTGACTGGACGGCAACATGAAAATCATGTAGGAGGTACTATAGTATAGCCATTGAATTTCACAAGATGCATTAGCCATGGAATAGTATTTTCCTTTAAAAACAGAGTGGGAAATAATTGTTTGTTTCTTGGATCTCCCTAGTAGATGTCTATAGTGGGAAGGATCTTCAAGGAGGGAACCAATAGTATCACTCGAACAAAGATCTATTTTGTTCCATTTGAAAGGAAGAGAGTTGAGAGTCAAGTAAGTCCATGTCAGTGAGGATATTCATGGCACATAGACCTGTTCATGGGCCGGGTAGCCCGATGGCTTGGCCCGGCCCGGCCTGCACCCCGGTCGGGCTTGGTCATGTAATTAGGCCTGCGGTCCTGACCTCGGGCCTAACACAGTAAGCCCGACTGTGTTTCGGGTTGGGCTCGGGATTTGTCAAAAAAGCCCGCCCGGCCCGACTCAGCATTATATATTTTATAAAATATATAATGTATTTTATATATTATATAAAATATATATTTATAAATTAATATATACATTTTTTATTCTTTTCTCTCTCTATTCAGCCACTAACAGTATGGGCTAAATTTTGGGCTCGGGCCCAAGTTGTAGGCCCGATGGTCAGGTTGGGCTCGGGCTTGGGCCTTAGAAAATTCTGTTAATACAGAGTGAAGCCCGGCCCGACCCGACCCATGAACAGGTCTAATGGCACATACTTTCTTTGAGGAAGAAAATTCCCCTCTACAGAACAAGCAACTTCAATGACTAGAAGATATTTTAAGCAGTTTAGATCCTTGATGCCAAAATGAGAATGAACTTGTGAAGGCAACAAATTTAATGCACCCCTTGTTTCACAAATCCTTAAGAGATTTTCATATAAATTTCTTCATGCAAGTCACCATGTAAATATGTGTTGTTGATTGTTGGCATTGAGTTGATAAAGATGCCAATTTTTAACTACATTTGATTGCAGTGCAATTTTATTTGCATTAATACAAAATGTATAAGAGTGCAAATGAAAATATGCAAATTCTAGTTTAATTTTATTTTGGATTTTACCTTATTTTGCTTCAGATCTTGATTTATTTCATTTGTACATCAATCAAATAAAATATGCTAAAATTTAAAATAAAAATAAAAAAAAAAACACTCAAATCAATTACACTACCATATTTKTGCATCAGTGCAAATTTATGGCAATGAGGCACGCCTTGTAGCATTAATGAGACCTATCAAAATAGTACTTAAAGCTTAGTTTGGAAGCATTACAAATGCAAATATGTACAGTGAAAATACATATAAAATAATATAAAATATAAAGTTTTGCACTCTACATATTTGCATTTGTACTCCTTCCAAACTGAGTCTAAGTTTATAGACCCATTCGCACCCAATGGCTCTCTTCCTAGAGGGAGATCAACAATGGACCAGGTACCACTTTACTCAGGTGCTTTAATTTGTATAGCTATGGTAACAAACCAATAAGGATCTTTAGTGGCCACTGAATAAGTGGAGGGATTAGTAGCGGGGGTGGCCATATGCCGAGCTTTTCACGATTTTTTTAACAGTGGCTTAGTACGAGGCCCACTGAGGAGTACCGTCTGTTCGGGTCGGGCGTGTGCTCCATTTCGAAAGTTGAAATCAAGGTTTTTAAAACCTGATTCCAAAATGGAATCGCTTTTCACCCATTTAGGTAAATAGGCCAAACCCGTGATGTCATAAATTTAATAGAAATACAAAAAAAAAAATATGACAAAAAAAGCAAAAGAAACCCCGAATTATCACCAGTTGTTGGGTCAAGTGGTCTGACTCGCTGATTCTACCTTGGGTTGAAAAAGTGATTGGAAGTTGAAACAAACGCAGCCCTAAGGGTAGAAAAGAGTCTATATTTTGCTATATGAATGCTTGACATGTAATTGGACCTTCCCCTACTACTCACCACCTAATAAGTGGCCTGCTGCAAGATTAGAGTGTCATTGTTAGCTTGTGCTCATGCAAGTTGCAATATCGCCTTCATCTTTAGGTGAAAGACCTTTCTTCCAGATCAACCATATAGCATGTCTGTATCTTTTTGTATCAAGAATTTAAGAGACCATGATGGCTAGAACTTCAAACAATTTAAATCTGCTCTGGTTTCGTAGAGTCTGGACGAAATAAAATAGATAATCAATTATGAATAAGGTGATATAAAATGAGTGTAGCAGAAATATGAATGATAAGATGAATGGGCAAAATGAAGGGATATAATAAGATCAGGAATGAAATCATCTGTAGGAACCCATAAATAACTCTAATATGTGATAAAATGAGAGAAAATAAACTTTGGTCACTTGTAGAGAAAACCATCAAAAGAACCAATTAGAAAAGTGATTTTTTGCAAGTCTAAAGGACTAAAAAGGCTAGTGATAGATTAAAAGGGGCATGGGTAGATATAGTAGGAAATGATAGGGTTCAAACAGTTTTGGGTTTTGGGTCGAATATAACAGGGCATTTCTAGAACACTGTAGTCTGCAAGTTATAGATATTAATAAAGGGTAATGGCAATCTAATAACATTGATCACAGAGAGGGTACAGAAGACTTTCAGAAACTTGATTGAAGGTTGTAGTGGAGATCCTCCTCATCAAGGAGCTAGGCCGCCGTAGGTTGGAAACAGTGGAGATCTTCCTCATCAAGGAGTAAGGCTGCAGTAGGTTAGAAAGATTCTGTTCTTGTTTGTTTGAGAGAGTTSTTTCTCCATTCTCCATTCCAAAAGGTATTACTGTCATTTCTTCAAAATATAACAGTACATGGTGTGGCATATGATCAAATTGTGACAGAACACTAACAGCAAGGAAGTAATTAGTCAATTGTCAGAAAACTCGAGGATACTTTAAAACAATAGTTATACAATAAGAATATAGTTCATCAATTAGCTAAATGGTAGGGATAGTTTAAAAAATTTGCCCTTACATTATTTACTTCTCTATGTGTGAAAAAGAATCAATTAAATAAATTTTCTTCTTGTGGTATTGGCTAGCCATACAATCTAACAGCATAGAGGAAGGAATACATCCAGACCAAGAAGTTGCCATTCAGCCCGATTAAAAAAAATATATAAAAGGAAACACACACACACACTTATCTTTAATATCCTGAAATTGCCTTTATAGCATTTGCATAACCAACTTCAACTCTCAACTTTTTTAGGTGAAGCTTACCAGCTATCTTAAACTCAAAATGACTGCATATAAATCAGAGAACAAGGGAAAACCGGGAAATATCTTCTGAGCAAAAGCAGCAATCAGCTGACCCATTTGGATTTGGCTAATAGTTGACTCAACAAATTTCCATTTTGTTGACTTTGCCTTCTATTTTTTTCTTTACAACAAAGACACACAACTTGAGGTTATTCATTGATAAATACTTTACACCATTGACTAGAATCCCGCCCTCTTTCAGAATTTGAAAGCTTAATTGTTAACTTGGCATTTTTGTAGATTTCAAATTATTTCAGTGGGGCTTGTCATTTTTAGTAAATAAATTATGAAATTGAAGTAAAAGAGGCTTGAATTTCAATTCTACATACTATCAAAATGCATATTCAATTTCTGTCATCACTCCATACTAACATCATTTTGAAGAACTTGAAATTAAGCAAAACGAGACAATTATATGTTTGATACGGCTAGAAATGAATCGAACCTTGTTCTAATTGCAACCCAATATTGAATAGTATAAACAAATTAAATATATGATCAAGATATTATACATTATGATTAAAATAAACTAGAAATGACTTTGATATTGTATTTCATGAACAATGGGGCTTGGGGTGAAACGACCCTGTAACCAGAACGGGTAAAGTGGTCCAATCGTCCAGTTCGACCATGAGTTGAAAACAAAGATTCAAACAAACATAGCCCCAAATAGCAGAAATAGAATAAACTATGGTTGAATTAAAATAAAAGAAAAGAAAAACTGAAGTTCAAATAAACTATAGAGTAAGTTATGAACAAGGTCAGAAGTCACCACAAGGTCCACAACAAAGTCCCCATTTCTTCTCCCCTCTAACATTTGTTTTCAAAACTAGAAACAAATTATTTGGTAATTTTCCTGCACCATCATTACTCATCCAGAAGATGGCCTGCCTCAGCTGATTCTGCCCCTAATTGCCTGTCAGTCACTTCAGCTTCTGCTGAATTTTCTCCTAGTTCCTCTGTTGCTTCAGCTTCCACCAACTCACTCAGTGCATTTTCAGTAACATCTTCAGCATCTTCCACTCCACCTACCTCCTCGACAACATTCTCCATTTCCTCTGTTATTTTGGCTGCCAATTCCCCATTTTCCGATTCTCCTTGAGTAGTATCTGGCATCGTGGTGGCATCTGGGTCAGCCCCACCATTTTGCTTCACTWGCTTCAGCCGAGCCATGTGCTTTTTCCCACTCTTGTGAGCAGCCATCACTCTTTCGCTATTTGCTCCTACATGACACATGTCGCACCACAGTTTGAATTTATTCTTCAAATCTTCTCTCTTTTGCTTTTTAGAAAGTGGTGCTTCTGCAGTTTTTTTCTTGGATTCTTTCTTTTGTTTCTTCTGCACCAACGTCACAACATTTTGCTTAGCATGCTGCTGCTTCCCTTCCTGTTGCTTACCTTGCTTCGGTTCCTCACTGAGAGCTGATAGCTTGGTGGGCTTGTCCGTTTTCTTTGGCAATGGAGTAGAGCTACCAGTGTTCTTTACCGTCATTTTACTAGCTTTCATCTGTTCTTCCTTGGCCTTGTGTTTTTTCCCTCGGAGGTGATCTTCCAGGACTTGTTCACTTGTTGCACTAATTTGACACAAAGCACAGCTCCACTCCTGAGGTTTCTTCTTTGCACCTGTTATAGAAAGCTCACCAGTACCTGTTGCTACTGCTGTTTCTTTCCTCTTTGTTCCTGCAAGACTAGTGTTTACGGGCTTAGCCTGCAATGGAAAATCAGAACATGTCCATCACTGAACTGAATGAATAATCATTATTCTGCTGGATGTTAAGGCCACACTGATGTTCAACATGTAACTGCATCCTTGATGAAACAACACATTTTCACCTAGTCCAAGTTCGAGCAAGTGACAACTACAAGCAAAAAATATTTAGATGTTCCTTGAGATTTTCTCTCTAGAAAGTCCAGCCAACTTTTGTCACCTCAAAAGACCATATGGCTGATCTGAGAGATTTACCGTGTTACAAATCCTCTATTCCAGAAAAAAGGTGCCACCATCTTCTTTAGCCATAGACAACATATTTGGTTAGAATGAAATACATGAAAACTTTAACAAAGAAATAGGAAAAATATTTCTTCCATGTCTAAAATAAGTAAAATAAAACCCCGGGGCAAATAGTCATCGAGTAAGTAGCACTCCGAGGTGCTGTTTTCATCAAGTTGTGTACCATCTACCAATTGTGCTTTTTCCCTTTTATGTCTTAAACACAATATACAACATACTGCAGCATCTATCGTTAAATGGAACCTCAGGATAAATAGTTGTGCACCTTCTAGTAAATGTCACGAACACTAGTACACCAGTGCTTTCTCCTTTGAATGTTACAAATACAATATAAAGCTTACTGCAGCCTTTATACTTAAAATGGAACTTAAAGGCTGATAATCATTGAATAAAATAGATGTTTTCCACAGATAATATGCCATCTAATACAAAGTCTTTGGTATATAAGCAGACTATTTAACTTTAAAAGAGGCATTGCTGTTGCAGAAATCTGCAAATAAAATAATAGTACGTTATGAAGGCAAATACTAAAATTAGGTCTTGCACATGCAAATCCAAGAAACCTCAAGAATACAAACAACAATACACCCATCCCAACAACAAACTAGAGACTCGATGTTAAAATTTAAGCAGAAGATGCCATAATAACTGGTTGAGGGTAGAAGTTTTCCACTGAGCAGGTAACTTCTCAAAAAATACATTCCTTCCTCAAAGAAATACTATTCTCAAGGAATATCAAAAAATGAGGCTACTATCTACTAATAGAAGGTATAAATACATGCTATGGCTTTTTCAGACGTAGTAAGGTAGAGCTGACTGACTACACATAATGCAATTTAGTAGTTCTAGAGTTGATTATCTTGCCTTTCAGAAATTGGGTAGGGGATCATATCCATAACCATATAAAATATAAATCAGTAAGTTCCTATGTGATGGCACAATGCCAGGCCTTGGTTACTAAACATCTTGTCTTACCATTCAAATACACCACTAGAAACATCATGGAATCCATTTGAGTGATTTGCATTTCCTTTCTGATCCAGGTTAGACTCCGGACATTGAACCCCTATGTCTGGTGCAGTGTTTTAAAAGGCGTGGGAGGCGTATGCCTGGAGGCGTGCCTCCAGGTGAGGTGCTCCCAAAACGCCCTGAGGCATATGCCAGAGGCCCTGAGTCGCTGACACCTCTGCGGCATACACGTCAGGTGTATGCCTCTTGCACTTTTTTCATGAGGCATGCTAGAGGCGTACGCCTCATGCGCCTCATGCACATCTGATATAAAAAGACAAAAAAAAAAGAAAAAAAGGAAAGGAAAAGAAAGGGAAGGGAAAGAAAAAGAAAGAGAAGAAAAAAAGAGAAAATGAAAGAGAAAAAAGATAAGGGGAAAGAAAGTGGCTTGCCCCCTGCCCCCCCGTTCAACTAATGTTATGCATCTTTATTCTTCTTAATATAAAAGATTTTTATTAAAAATAAAAAAAGAGATCCCCCTTCCTTTTCATCCTCCTCCTAACCCCCGTTCTCTTAAGGAGGCTTACGCTTCCTTGTGTTCGGGAGGCTTACGCCTCTTGCGTTTTGAACTACACCTCACGCCTCTAGGTAGTGGAACGCCTCGCATCACGCCTCCACATTTTAAAACATTGGTCTGATGATCATAGTCTTCCCAGGACAGATCCATCCTTACAACTCAGACATATGCTGACTTTTTTCAGTAAGCCTCTTATTAGGTTAAAGGGCAAAAGTAGTAAGCCTCCTGAAAGAATTGGCAGTATGAGAAATCCAGACACTGTAAATACAAACAACAGCCGTAACTAAGAATAATTTTAAGGAACAAGAAAATATATTGCAACAACAAACTTCTGAACATAAGTGCAGATTCTACAGCATTTTCCTTTCAAGAAACCAGACAGAAATTTTATCTGAAATCTTGGAGATAACTTTGCAACCCYCTTCAGTGTTTTTGACAATCACAACATGGCCAAGTAAATGGGTGAGAAAAGTAGTCTTGCAAAAACAAATTGCCCATCATGTAAACCAATCTATTTTCCAAAAAGAAAAACTGAAGTCAGTCACAGAATTTCTGAAAGCATTTTTTTAACATAAAGGGATCATTTCACTAGATTCAGAAACTGCAGTGCATTAAGCCCCTGTGCCAGTATATACAGCTTTACATCTTCAGCCCTTTTACATGCTACATAAGCTATGGCATGCTGCAGTTGATTCAAAAAGCTCAAATCCACAAATCTTATCTCTTAGTATTATTCTGAAAGTTGTAATGATGTTGTAAATTGAAGAGAAAGTTGAATCAAATCACATTCTGAATAGATTATTTCTGCCTTTCAAAAATCCTTCAGAAAAAGAAAAATATATTATAAAAAAAAAGAAATGATACACCATTTTTTAATTCATATCTACCATTTGTGTACTTAATACAATAGAATCTACCACCTGTACACTAGAAACTTAATATGATATAATTAAGTTTGACATAAAAGTCAATTAACCCATATTCACCTACATTGAACAGCCTTCTAGTAAAGGTTTTAAAATGAATGTCCCTTGAGAAAATAAGTAAAAGAGACAAAGGAATGAAGTACAAAGTAGAGATCTATGCCTCAATTGAACTGATTTGAAAAACATGCATGAATCATATAAAATATAAGATTCAGACAGTAATAGTAAGATCTTTTCTAACAAAATGATCCTAAAATAAGATTCAAATTGAAACCTTTTGATATTCATGATTCAAATTGTCAATTGCATCATAAATCATGAGATTTTGACAACCATGCAAGGAAAAAGCTATGGCTGCAACTTGGGCTGAGCCAACCCAAACCTAGCACCTTAAAAAAGAATTGGGTTGGGTTCAATGTCAGTCATTCAAATATGAGAAAAATCTGGAAAATGTCAGAAATGTGTAAAACAATAGACATGTGAAAACATTGTAAAATATAAGGAAATACACATACTGTATGGTGATAAGAAAAGAACACACTTTTTAAATTATCATATTGTTCAGTACAATCAAAAAGAGCCAAGAAACAAAAGTTAAAAATCAAAAACATGCGATAAAGTTGCTGGATAGACAGTTAAAACTACATAATAGAGTAAGTTTAAATGAAACTTAAGACTCTCTAAATGTGCAAACGATTCTAATAGATTAACCAAATAATCTTTTTTTTTTGGTAAATGTTCAGATTTCATTTTATTGTTGTGATTATTATTCTTTTAAAACTGATGGGGAATCTGGCTACTACCTCATGGTCTCTTGTAAGGCTGCTAAAACTGTTTGGGAGTGGGTTTTCTCCCGTTTTGGGTGTTCTTRGTATCCTCTGGAGACTGTCCAAGGTTTGTTTTCTCCTTTTGAAGTTGGCCTAAGAAGCGAGGGAAGACTATGTGGAGGTGTATTAGGGCAGCGGTATGCTGGTCTTTGTGGGAAGAAAGAAACTCACGCATTTTTTCTGACAAGAACATGGAAGAATTGTTAGATCGAATCCTTTTAAGAGCTGTTTACTGGCTAAAATCTTTGGAGTTGTTTTCAGATTTTCCTGTGGATGACTTGCTAAGAAACTGGAAAGAGATTGCTTCCATTGCTAGATGCAAGAGGACTCTTTGTCCGTTTTGTTCCCCTCCCCCCTCGGGCTTTATAAAGCTGAATTTTAATGGCAGCAGTGTAAGGAATCCAAGGCCCTCTGGGATTGGAAGAGTCTTCAGGAATGAGGAAGGGATTGTTATTACCTTATTCTCTAGCCCTATTGGAGAAGGTGACTCTCTTAGGGCTGAGATCCTTGCAGCGCTTGAAGGAATTCGAAGAGCAAAGAAATTAAATATCAGCTGTTTGATTCTGGAAAGTGATTCGAAGGTGGTGGTTAGTTGGTTGAAGACCAGTGGTTTGTGGAACTTTAACAATAAAAAAAAAAAACAGTTCTTATGACTGGGCAGGGACATTGAGATTCAGTACAGCTGGGTGAAGAGGAGTGCCAACTCATTTGCGGATGGGTTGACCAAGCAAGGAGTGAATAGGGAGTCTGTTTTTTGGGCTATTTTTAATCTTTTTCTTTGCATTCCCTTTGTTTTCTGTTTTTGGGGAGCTAAGTTATTTTATCTCCCCCTTTGTATCCTTATTCCCTCTCTTCTTTTAATTTAATGAAGATGGTGTTATTGATMAAAAAAAAATTATTATTCTTTTAAAACTGCAATTGCACTGCTTTATATCTTTTTATTTTTATGCTAGTGCTTTTCTTTATACATGGGAAGCTAGGGATATTTTTGGCATTGTACATATGGAGAGGGTGGTAGAAAAACTTTTTATTTGTCCATTCTTTTCTTCCATCTTTTTTCTTCTTTTTTTTTTGTTTTGATCAATAACCACGGAATTCATTAATAATGGAAAAAAGTTACAGGGAAGAGGAGCTAAAAATTCTTAACTCCCCAGAAAAGAAATACATCTGACTTAAACACACAGAAACTTACAACTAAGCCCAGAACCCAGAATAACTAAAAATTCCTTGCCTAGCTAATCCATCAGCAAAAGAATTAGCATTTCTTTTAACCCAAGTACATTGGACTTCCATATCTTTAATCATCCATTTGAATTTTCTTTTCTCATTGTTGTAGCTCCATATCTTGGAAGTGTCTTCTTTTAACCAATCCACAACAACCGCAGAATCTCCTTCTATAATCAGTTTCTTAGCATTAAT